TTTCAAAAGCGCAAGCGCTTCACGGATAGAGGGCAGACTGTTTTCACTCTGTGGATCTCGCCTTAGCGCCGCGCGCATTCGGTTTTTACAATTAGCAAAAGCTTCACGGATTGAGGGCGGCGCGTTTTCAAAATGTGGCTCTCGCCTTAGCGCCGCGCACACTCGTTCTCAAAAGCGCAAGCGCTTCACGGATAGAGGGCGACCTGTTTTCAATATGTGGATCTCGCCCTAGCGCCGCGCGCATTCAGTTTTCTTCAATTGGCAAAAGTTTCATGGATAGAGGGCGGCGCGTTTTCAAAATGTGGCTCTCGTCTTAGGGCCGCGCACAGTCGTCGTTTACAATTTACCAGAGCTTCGCAGATTGAGGGTGGCGCGTTTTCAATATGTGGCTCTGCTTTAGCGCCGCGTGCCCTCGGTGTTAAAGATCTGCAACAGTTCAACGGGGGGGCGGCTCATTTTCAAAATGTGGCTCTCGCCTCAGCGCCGCGCACATTAGCATTTTATTGTCGTAGGAAAATCCATGTATTTCACGGATCCCCACGATCAGCGTACCAGAAATGGTGATTTGGAAGGGTTCAGGACTATGAGGGTGCAACAATTAGGTTGCCCCGCGGTGTTGAAGTCCCCAAAATGGCGTTCTGGCAAGATTCGGGGTCGTCAAGGCGCAGTCAGGTTGATCCGTGGCGTTGGGATCCAGAAAAAGAAGTTTTGGCATGCTTCAGGGTCTTCAATCAATTTCCTTCCAATGAGGCAGTTCCCACAGTGGAAATAAATCGTTGTGGGTGGGGCCTATGACGAGGGAGATTGGAGGGAGGGCTTCATCCAACATCGTTGATGACTCTTGGATTTACACTGGCCTCCTCCTCCTCATCATCATCCTCCTCCATTGTCGCCTTTCCTGCCCACCCCGTCCGTCCCGCAAGATAACGCGGCGGACAATCAAGTACTACCCTTGTCCTCCTCCACCTCCTCCTCAGCCCTGACTCTATCCTCATTCTGCCCTTGTCCTCCTCATCCTCCTCCTCGTTCTCGTCGTCCTCGTCCTGCTCATCCTCCTCGTCCTTCCTTGTCGTCCTTCATGCCCGCCCCGTCCCGCATAAGAAACGTGATGGGGAATAAACTTCTCTCGCAGCTGGGCGTGCCGTCCTCCCTCTTCCTGCGGACGCTGCCGCGCCGACAACGGCGAACGGCGGCGGCGACGCCGACGATGCCGACAGCGGCGGCGACGGCGGTGGCGCGCGCGGGCGCGCCCCTGGAGGAGGAAGAGGAGGAGGAGATTGAGGAGGAGGACGACGAGGAGACGCTGGGGGAGCATTCCAGACGAAGGCAGGTCAGAACGCGTGCATGACCGATGAGTTGATGAGATCCACGGCCCACCATGAAGGATAGATGCCTTCGCTGCTGGAAGCGTCTGGCGACTTTCGAGGCGGAGGAGGTCGACTGGTCGTGGGGGAGCTCGCGCGCGGGCACCGGGGCATGCGGAAGCTGGGCGGTCACCGGGGCAACTTGGATGAACATGGGGACGTTCGAGCGAGGCATGGTTCGCTACGTGGGGCGGGATCAACATGCGACAACTCGAAAGGACATGGGGGAAGCGGGATGGCCATGGCGAGGGTTGGGCGGACGTCTGGGGCTCTCCGGGTGCCTCCAGGGCCCGCGCGGCCAAAGCTGGGGGGCTCGGGACCCCCTCCGCGGCTGAGGATGGGGGGATGCTGGCCCGGCCGGCTGCTGGGCAGCTCCGGCGCCCCCCCCGCTGAATCTGAAGGGCTCCGCCGTGTGGCCGCCCCGGCCAATGCCGGGGGGCTCACGGCCCCCTCTGGCTGAGGCTGGCCTGTCCGCCTAAGGCTGAAGGGCTCCGCGGGGAGGCCTGGCCAAGGCGGGGGGGGTCCAGGCTGCGGGGCCAAGGCTGGGGGGGCTCCAGCGCCCTCGCGCAGTTCTGAGCTTCCCCGCGTCTTACCCGTCTGCCCCGCGTCATCATGATCTTCCCCACGCCCCCCTGTGACCTCCTCCATGTCATTCCCAACTCCCCGGTGCCATTCAGAACTTCACCGTGGTCGCCAAACATCCCCCGCGCACACGCCACGTTCGCCGCGCCCGCGCCACCTGCCTTACCCCGACGCGCAGTCCAGCATCTTCGCCATCACAAGCCAATTTCATTTCATGACCTTCCACAACTCGTTTGCGTTTTCGGTCTCAGCATGGCTCAGTGGACCGTGGATCTCATCATCTCATGACTGATCTGGCGACGAGGAAGAGGGAAAAACATAGATTCCCATCCTACGCAAGCGCACACACCTAGCAGAAATATGCTCACAGATCAGCGTAACCTTCAGGTGCACTCCAAGGCCCGACGTCGACTGTAATGCCTGCGAGCCGGCCAGAGGCGACAGAAAGCGAGCCGCCGGCCCCGGAGCCCTCTGGAGAGGGAGAAGGCGGAGGGAAGGAAGGAGAGGAACGAAGCGGAGCGGAGCGGCGCCGGAACTGGGCACCGAAATACCTGTTCCACAACGGTACTGGGTGCCGGGCACCGGGTGCCGGGCAGCGGGTGCTGGGCACCGGTGGGGAGGAAGGAGGAGAGAAGTGCAGGACAAGGACGGGGGCGCGCAGATGGAAGAGGCTGGCCCGAGAGGCTCCCGGGCGGCTCCAAGAGGCTCCCCAGAGGCCCCAAGAGGCCCACAAGAGGCCCCCAGGAAGCCCAAAGAGGCCCCCAAGAGGCTCCCGAGAGGCCCCCAAGAGGCTCCCAAGAGGCCACACAGTTCCTCCCCAGAGGCCCCTGAGAGCCTTCTGAGGAGACCCCAGGAAGCATCCCTGAGGACTCTGGCCCACGTCAGCGCCGCCGTCGTCGTCGTCGCCGCCGCCGCCGCCGCCGCCGTCGTCGTCGTCGTCGTCGTCGTCGTCGTCGTCGTCGTCGTCGTCGTCGTCGTCCTACTTCAGGGTCGGCTGCACCGGCCGTAAGACCTTCGCAATCTATCATTTTTGCCTCGTGGGGCCGTCATCGGGGTCCTCCTTGGCCGTCTTGTCAGGCCTCCTGGCTCGCCTTGGGGCCGACTTGGGCCATTACACGAGGCCCGCGTCGGGTTCTCTAGGACCATCTGGGCGCCCTCTTGAGCGTCTCGGGACCGTCGGTGGGCGCCTCCCTTGCCATCGCTCGAACGTCCACTCCCCGTGCATGTTTCGGCCTCGTGCGCTCATGTTTCGCAAGCTGGCTCAAGATGCTCCTCGAAGCTCCCCGCCGAGAAGCATTGCACACTCGGGGATGGACAGACCTCCCTTTAGTAAAACGTGGTTTAGTGAAAACGGCCTCGGGCCCAAACCTGGCGGGCGCAAGCCTGGAAAATAACGGCCGCGGCGCCCTCTCGACAACCGAAAACGGACAATTCACTAATCGACGTGTCACTGTTAGGAGGTCTGTCCACCCCCGACACACGTCCGAACGATGCCAAGCTTCGAGCCCTCCAGCGACCGCCCAGGGCCGTCCGGGAGCGCTCTGGCAGCGCCACGGGGCGCCCCGGGATCGCCGGGCGCGTCGCCCTGGGCCGAGCTGCGGCAGCGCAGTCTCCCTCCCTCTCTCCCTGCTCCTACCTCCTCCTCCTCCTCCTCCTCCTCCTCCTCCTCCTCCTCCTCTGCGCAGCCTTCCGCAACGCAATGAAAGCATCATCACGTGTCTCCACGGCTCCCCTCTCCGGCACGCGCTGATGCCAGCGCTGTGCGTGATGGCAGTGGGTCTCACCTGTGAGTCCAACGTCGCAATCAACGATGATAGCGCATGCTGCTGTCTGCCACACACGCACACGCTGATTGCGACATTGTACATGATGGTTCGAATTTCCACCTGCGACTGCACAGCGCTGCGCAGAACGCCCAATACTTGAGCCCACTGATTGACTGCCCCGTGGTCCCTGACAGCATGTGAAACCGAAGGGCGACCACCTGACTGGGGCCCGAGCTGTCTCGACATCGCACTACCGACGGCTCGCAAACAATCTACGCGATTACAACAAATGAGCTTTTTGTCGGCGTATGCATGGAGGAAACGGGTCCTGAGGGAAACGGGGCCTAGGTTTAAGTCGGGCGTGTCCCCCTACAGGGGGATTCTCGACGAAAAAGAAAAATTATCCCAGTGCGACCCTACCTAGGAGTTGGAGGATCTAGGAAAGCAACATCTAACATCTATACGAAGCTAAGCTAAGCTAAGATGAAGCTCAGCAAAGATGAAATAGGATAAGCTAAGATGGGATCAGCAACGCTAAGCTAAGGGAGCGTCACTGGGGGAACCGCGGGGCGGATGCCGGGGGAACCGCCCGGGGCGTTTTCCACTGCCGGGGGAACCGCCACAGACAGCTATGAACATACATACATATACATAAACATATAAGGCTCGAGAACCTCTAGGGAGATCGTTCAATTTGGTCCAGTGAATCGCGCGGTGTCACAGCCCAGAGCCCAAGTCCCCGTGGCTTCGCTCCAGTTCTTGCTCGCGGCGAGGCCCTTCCACGAGCAAAGCTTCCACGCATCTCTTCGGATGGATTGGCGCGCCTCAGGCCATGCTTCCTCCTCCTAATACAACTATTACGACGACGACGACGACGACGACGACGACGACGACGACTACGACGACGACGACTACTACTACTTCTACTACTACTACTACTACTACTACTACTACTACTACTACTGCTACTACTACTACTACTACTACTACTACTACTACTACTACTATACTACTACTACTACTACTACTTACTACTACTACTACTACTGCTACTACTGCTTACTGCTACTGCTACTGCTACTACTACTACTACTACTACTACTACTACTACTACTGCTACTGCTACTACTACTACTAATACTACTACTACTACTACTACTACTACTACTACTACTACTACACTACTACTACTACTACTACTACTACTACTACTACTACTACTACTACTACTACTACTACTACTACTACTACTACTACTACTACTACTACTACTACTACTACTACTACTACTATTACTACTACTACTACTACTACTACTACTACTACTACTACTACTACTACTACCACTACTACTACTACTACTACTACGACTACTACGACTACTACTACTCCTACTACTATTACTACTACTTCCCTAGGTCCTCCAACTCTTGGGTAGGGTGCTCGTGGTACATACATACACGTATTGAAACATACATGGATACATACATGCATACATACGCACATAGATACATACACATATCCATGCATGTACGCACATAAGTATCATTGTTTCAGGCGGTCTGGCCATGCTGGATCGCTCCTGCCGCCTGGCGTAGGGCATCTTTGGCCTTCTCTAAAGCTTTGGCAGGAGTTATGGAGCTGTTCCACGAGCTGCGGAAGAGTTCCAAGTTGAGACCGCTGAAAAGAGCAACGAGAAAGAAAAGGGTCATGTCGTAGTTCCCAGAGATTTGGAAAAGGAGCGCGCGGAAAGCGCGCCGCAACACTTGATGCCATGACCGCCTCGATGCCCCCCGCCACTCTCGCAGCGTCCGGGGGTGCATCCATTGCTCGCAGTCGTCTGTCCAATTTTTCAAGGCACGATCGAGCTCTTGTTCACTGAAGATGTCGATGCTGGAATCGTTGCATATTCTCTCGCGGCGTCCGGTTGTCAATCTGATCAGCAGCTCCAATTTGACCTCGGCAGCGCAGCGCTGCTGTGCCGGGAGGTACCCGGCAGTGCCGTCAGAGAGGAGCCCGTGCCATGACAGATCGCCCCAGAAGAAGTTGTGCGCGACCCACTCCAGCACCTCGTCCGAGAGCGCCTCCAACGCAGCGGCCACGTGAGGACATGCGGCACGATGCCGGGGCGCAGGCTGTTCAGCGCTGCTGGATGAGAGGACGGCGCGAGAACGAGCGGCAACAGAGTCCCACAGATAATCGAGTGCGACGTGCGCCTCGGCCATCGTCGAAGCATTCTGCCATGAGCCTTGGTATCTGGCCAGCTCCTCGGACAGGGTGACAAGCCCAAGTCTGGCCCAGAATTTCCTCATCGCATTCTTGTTGAATCGTGACTTTGCCATCTCCTTGCCGGTCCGAGGCGAGCAGCCAGCGTCGATTATAACGACGTCGCCCTGCAGCGTTCCAAAGTTGCAGAGGGACGGGTCATCGATGCAATGCCCACGTGTGAACGCTCGGAGCATGCAGCGCGCTGCTCCAACAATGCGCTGCTCGGAGCATGCGCTGCACCTTAGCGCCTGGTCCAATGGAACGGCTAGCTCGGTGATCCAGCCGTTCCATTGACAGACAGGTTGCGCAGCGCTGTCGAGCTGAACGACGGGAGATGCCGCAAGAATATGTTGGTAAATGCCGCTGCCCCCGTGTTCTCGAAAAAGCTCGGGCCCTGGGTCCGCTTCCTTGCAGAGCTTGAGAACCTTGTCGGAGAATGGGTGGCCATCGTGGGGGTGCAGGGCTTCCAGCAGGTACGCAACCTTGAACAAGCTGTGGCGAAGGTACAGAGCTCTGAAGTGACAGCCAGAAGCGTCGACATCCAGGGTCGCGGGCAGAGGCGGCCGTCGCGCGTGAGTCCACTGCGGCTCTTCCTTTTGAATCATGGACGCCTGGATTTGCCGTGCGTCAGCAGGCTGCGCAGCGTTGCCCCCGCGGCACCTGGCCTCAACTCGGCGAGGCTCATCAGCATCATCGTCGTCGTCGTCGCCGCGACTGCGGCTACGGCCGCGGCTGCGGCTAGGCTCGCGGCGACCGCCGCTTCGACGCAGATCGACCGTTTCCGCCGCCGGCAGGGGCGCGCCTCCGCGCGACGCGGGGCGGGGCATCACCGGCGGCCCGAGCTCCACCAACTCATCCCAGATGTCCAGTTGCTCCAACTGGAAATACCTGGCAACCTGGAACCACGAGTTGCATCTCTTCAGCCAGTCGTCGTCTTCATCGAGCAACCGCTAGCTATCCATAGGGCGGATGCGCGCGCGCAGGTTGACGCGGCCCTTGCTCCGCCTGATCGACAGGCCCGAGTTGCCAACTCCGTCGTTCAAGACACTCCACAAACACTCGAGATCGTTGTCGATCATGTGGGTCGACTGCAAATGCTGAGAAGCAACGCCCTTGCCGTCCCCCCCGCTCTTCTGAGCCGTCAAATGGATGTTCGCGTCAGGCATCCCCATCTCGAGCAAGCCTGCGCTCCGGATCAGCCTGACGACTCAAGCCTCTACCCTGCCCAGGCGGGCATGGCGCGAGTACCGCGTGCCCCGCGTCGTGCGACTGATGATGTGCATGTCTTGCAGACCGTACTCAGCCGCAAAGAGCACAACGAACGCCCAGAAGCCATCCTCGACAACCGTGTACATCATGCTGCCTTCAACCCGTTCATCGTCGTTCCGCTTGGACGCGACGTCGCCCACATCGATGGCCACAACAGGCCGGGTGGGCTGTGCAGCGCCACCTGGTGCCGAGGCGGGCTCTGCAGCACCGCTGAACGCCTCACTCCGCCAACCTCGGGACATGAGCGCGGGCGGCTGTGCGGCAGGGGCCTCCGGACTTGAGCCGAAATGGTTGCGGAAGGCACTGCTTGCAGGGGCTCCGGTCCGGCCATCGAGGCCAGCTCGGCATCTGTCGCACATTGCTTTTGCCTTTCCTTGGCTTTGCTTTACTTTTGTTTTTGCTTTGCTTTGCTTTGCGTTGCTTGTGCTTTGCTTTGCTGTCGCTGCTGTTGCTTTGCCTTTGCGTTGTTGCTGTGCTATGCTATGCTCTGCTGTGCTGCGCGTGTGCATGCGATGCTATGCTAAAGCTCAGCGAAGCTAAGATGAAGGTAAGCTAAGCTAAGATAAAACTGAGGTAAGATGAAGCTAAGCTAAGGCAAGATGAAATAAGCTAAATTAAGATGTGATAAGCAACGCGAAGCTAAGGGAACGTCACTGGGGGAAGAGCGGGGCGGATACTGGGGGAACCGCCCGTGGCGGGCCCCACTGCCCGGCCCTTTAAGCTTACCGAGTGAGAACCATTCTAGGCAGAGCCCAGGTAGGGAAATACACAAGGAATGCCCCAAAATTGCAAAAAATGCGAACAAAAATCCCCGGACAATTTTGGGAGTATTTTTGTTTAATTATTGTTGGGGTATCTTTTATTTCTCGTCGAACATATCCCTGTAGGGGGACACGCCCGACATAAGCCTGGGTCCCCGGGCCTCCCCCCCAAGGACGAGATCTTCAGCCGGCGTCGTGCTCGGACAGCCCCCGGGCCCGTGGGGGGCCCCAGGGGCCCACAAAAACCGCGAGGAGCATCTCAGGACCCGTCGCTAGGGAAACGAAAAGTTACATAAACATACAAACTCGGAGGTCCGCGCGGGTTTCTCGGATCGGCGCTGGACCCCCCTCCCTGGCGCGCGGAGCGCGCCAGGGGCGGCGCCGGAAGCGCCGCCAGGGGGCCCCAGCGCCGATCCGAGAAATCCGCGCGGACCTCCGAGTCCGTATGTTTATGCCACTTTTCGTTCCCCTGCGTTTCCCTCAGAACCCGCTCCCCCCCCTGGCGACGGCGGCGACTCGGGTCCAGGACGCGGCCGGGGCAGCCGGGGGACGCACCAGGACCTCACCGGGCACAGCCGGAGGAGGGCGGGCGAGGAGGGGGGAGGAAGGCCGCGGGCGGCGGAGCGCGCGAGGACCGTGAAGCTCGTGCGCGTGCGTGCCGGAGCAGCTCGTGGCTCCTCTCGCTTCGGCGCCCCGTGCCTCGTGGGAAACACACACACTCTCACACACACACACACATACACACAAAACACACACATGCACACACAAAAACACAAAACATAACACGTTTGCGTGTGTTTTTTTTTTGTTTGTGTGTGTGTGTGTTGTGTGTGTGTGCGTGTGCGTGTGTGTGTGTGTGTTTTGTCCCAAGGCCTTCCACAGCAAGCTGGCCCCCATGCTCCGCTGCTCGTGCGCCGCGGAGCATGAGAAGCTCCGCTGCTGCACCCCCACGCCGGCTGCCGTGGCTCGGGAGCGGGCTCCTCCCCTGCTCGCGTGGGCCTTCGTGCCTCCGCGCGCTCTCGGCGCATCCCACCGCTTGCCGCGGCCGGCGCCTGACTGTCGGGTTTTTGTGCAATCCTTTTTGCAATCGGGTTTTTGTTGCAATCCTTTGTCGGGTTTCTTTGCAATCCTTCGGTTTTTTTTTGCGAACCACTTGGCGCTGGCGGACTGAACAAAAAGTGTGCTGGCACACAAAGCTCACACGGGCAGCAAGCCGGGAGTGGCAAGGCGGCCCTGCGTACCAGGGTGCAGCAAGTCCACGGAATGCCGAGCGTCGTAAGCTCGAGGCGGCTGCGCACACCAGTCATGCGAAGGACAGGACAGGACACGAACACGCGCGAGACTTGACCTCTGCTCGGAACGATTGCAGCGCGGCGTGCCTGGACCAGTCGCCTGGCTGACGGCCCCTGCGCCAAGTGTTTCTTGAGGCTGAATCGCTTGCGCCAATGGTCGGGCGTTGCGTAGGGGGGGCATTACAGTGCAGGGCGAAGCATGTTGCATCATTCGTGCCTCATTTCGGCCCCAGGGGGCCCCTTTGGGGCCCAGAAGGTGCACCTTTCCCGGTGGTTCAGATATGGGGTCCTGAGGGACGGGGTCCTGATGTTGGAAGGGATCCACGGCTGGGTTTACACTGCCTGAGGCACCTCGTCCTTGGGACCCCATTCCTCAGGGCCCCATCTTTGAACCACCGACGTTCTGCACCCCACCCCCCTTTGCATCGCCCCCGCATTACGCAACGCCCGACATGGGATGACCGCCTGCGCGCCGGCGAGACTGCGCCCCTGCGGAGCAGGACGTCGGGCGCCAGAGGGCACGATGCCAGAGAGCTGGTCTTTGGTTCTTCCAGCCACTTCGGCTGTTCAGAGATGCGGCTTTGAGGGAGCGGGTCCTAAAGAAGGGAAAGGGGCCCAAGGGCGAATATGTATTGTTTGAGGTATCTGGTCCTTAGGGTCCCATCCCTCAGGACCCCATCTTTCAACCATCGACCATTGTGAATCTTCGGATTGGATGCAGGCCCCAACGCCGAACATCCTCCTCCTTCTGCTGCTCCTCCCCTTCCCCCATTCTCCAACAGCGGCCGCGGCCGAGCTCCTGCGCACATCTGGTATTACTCTCAAGAACAAGAGGATCGGCAGAGCGATAATCCAGTACGCGTAATCCTTGACGCAATGGGGGAGAGGATCGCTTCGAACAACAAAAGTTGCCACAAAGGCGGCACTAACTCCCTGCGCATCCGCAAGGGCTGGACGACGGGAACTGCGAAGAGATGCTGTAACGCTGGCGAAAACACCTGGCTCATCGCAGACTCACTGACACTCAGACTCACTCACGCTCAGACTCAGACTCACTCACACTCAGACTCACTCGCACTCATAATCACCCACACGCAGGCTACTTCCCCATATCATAAGATGAGGTTGGTAATTGTGTGACGCCTCCGCCTCATCATCTCATCCCCGCATCCTCTCACATCAGATTCAACCACTCACACTCGTCCTCACTCACACTCGCACTCAATCGCAGATATACTCACTCGCACAGACAATTCATGCGCAGATTCGTTCGTACTCAGACTCAGTCACATTCAGACCCACTCACACGCAGAATCAATCATGATGAGACTCACTCCTACTCAGACTCCCTCACACTGAGATTCACCCACGTTCAGCAGCTCATACTCGGACCTGCTCATGCCCAGACTCACTCATACTCAGAAGCCTTGTGATCACCGCGGTGTAGCAGGCAGTACTTTCGAGCAATTAAGGGGGAACCGCCAGGGGGTGTAACACTCACTCGGTCGCGGCAAGATTGTGCGGATGTCTTGAACGGGCGCTTGTTTGGCGGCTCCGACTCCACTCTTTTCAAAGCATCTGGTGAGGATGTGTTGGATGAGGTGCTCGTTTTCGCACTCCAAGGCGGAGCCGCCTGGGAGCGGTGTACACTCGCCAGTTCGCGCCCAGATCGCGTGGATGCCTCGAGCGAGCAGCTCGTTTCGCGGCTCCGACTCCTCTGTTTTCAGATCAAGTTGTGAGGATGTCTCGGCCGAGGCGCTCGTGGTCGCAGCCCGAAGGGGGCACCGCCATGCAGAGCCCCATGAGCGTCGCGACGCAGCAGGCTCAGACTCTCCAGAGCTCCGTCGCTCACAGCGGGGAGTGCCGGGAAGTGCGATGCACAAAGGAGGAGGAGGAGGAGGAGGAGGAGGAGGAGGAGGAGGGAGGGGGAAGGGTGAGGGTAGGTGATGGGGGGGGAGGAAGGAGGAGGAGAGGAGAGGAGGAGGAGGAGGAGGAGGAGGAGGAGGAGGAGGAGGAGGATTTTTCGTCAGCGGTGGCGTGGAGCACGCCGCGCCGAGCAGCCAAGCCGCCAGGGCGCGCGGCAAGAGGAGTGCACGGAGCACCGTCGGAGGGCGGCCGCCGGAAAGAGGCCACACGCCCAAGAGACACTCCGCATCCGATCGCGGGTCCATCGCATCTTCGGGAGCGGCCAAGACGGGGGTGTCCAAGAGGGGTGTCGGTGGGTGTCCAAGAGGGGGGGGTGTCCAAGAGGGGGGGGTGTCCAAGAGGGGGGGGTGCCCAAGAGGGGGGGTGTCCAAGAGGGGGGGTGTCCAAGAGGGGGGGGTGTCCAAGGGGGGGGTGCCCAAGGGGGGGGTGTCCAAGAGAGAGCGGCAAAGACGGGGGTGTCCAAGAGGGGGGGGGTGCAAACATGTGCGCGGCCCAGCGGGGGGGCCAGGGAAATAATGAGATAAGAAGGGGCGCCATGAAGTCTGGGGAAATAGCATGGCCCCCGCCATGATATCCACCCCCCCCTAGTCATCACCCCCCTTTGCCGCCCCCGACATCTGCTCCCAGCGCCGAGCCGACCGGGCCAGACCACCAAGCCCGCGGAGGCAGACAGGGCGCCCCTCGCCCCCACAGGCGAGACAGCTGCGCACCGAATCAGGCCCGACGGGCGCCACGCGCAGGCATCTGGCACGCAGCATCGACTCGCTCGCGGCCGGAGGCAGGGAGGGACCACACCGCCACTACCGTGGCCTGAGCAAGGCCAGACGGTCGCCCACGGCCCTCGCTGGGGCAGGATGGAGGCCTCTGAGCGTGCTTCGTCTGGTCCGGATCTGTTTTTCTGCCCTCTTGGGGCACCCGCAAGCCTCCTGCGGCCTCCGCGGACCTCTGGGGGTCAGGATCCGGGGCGGAGGCAGAACTTAGCACGGAGGAGGGTCGCTGCTTCTCGGCGCTCCGCTCGATGCATCTCGAACCCGCGCGGGCACGGAGCTGCCTCGGAGGAGAGGGCCAGGCAACGCCAGAAGGGGGTCACCACCAGGGGGTCGCCACGTCCTCCGGAGGAAGTGGAGAGATGGACCCTGGCAGGGCCCCCCCCCCCGTACACGCTCTCAGAGCCACCCAGAACGCCAAAGGCGCACACAAACCCCCTCGGCTCCCGATCCCTCCCCCTCCTCGATCCTCGATTCTATCAGGCGGCGACCCCTTGGTGAGGACCTCATTTGCCCTGCCTGGAAAACGGTCGGGGGCGTCCAAGAGGGGAGCGTCCAAGAGGGGGGGAGTCGCAGATCACGGCCCGAGACACGTGCGCGGACGAGAGGAGGGGTGTGCGTTGAATCAAAAAGAGGGAGCCATGAAATGGTCGAGGTATCCTGGCCCTGGCCATGATATCCACACACTCCAAGTCCTCACCCCATTTGGGACGCCCCGAAACGCGTGCTGGAAACCAGAGATCCCCCAGGACCACGGGGCAGTCTACGAAGACGGCGGCGGCGGTGGCGATGGCCTCAAGGGCGATGGCGATGCCGACGAACAATTGCCAAACATAGCGACGGCGACGGCGACGGCGACGGCGACGGCGGCGACGGCGACGGCGACGGCGACGGCGACGGAAACGGCAACGGCAACGGCAACGGCGACGGCGACGGCGACGACGACGCTGACGGCGGCGACGACGACGACGACGACGGCGCCGACGACGACGACAGAGACGCCGACGACGCCGACGCCGACGCCGCCGCCGCCGCTGCCGACGACGAGGATGACGACGACGGCGGAGACGACGACGGTGACGACGACGACGCCGACGCCGACGCAGCCGCCGCCGCCGACGACGACGACGACGGAGACGAAGACGACGACGATGATCGAGACGACGACGACGACGATGGAGACGACGACGATGACGACGACGACGACGACGACGACGACGACGACGACGACGTGGCGCCCTGCGGTGGTTCCTTGGCGCGGGCGTCCTCTGGCGGGCAGAGGCTCACGGGCCCGTCGTCCGGCTCCTCCTCCGCGCGCGCCGGGCGGGGCGCCCACGATCCGGAGGCCTCCTCCCCTCTGAGGAGGAGGAGGAGGAGGAGGAGGAGGAGGAGGAGGAGGAGCAGAGCAGAGCAGAGCGGTGCGGTGCAGAGCGGCGCAGAGCAGCGCAGGCCGGTGCAGTGCAAAGCAGAGCAGAGCGCACCAATGCGAGGCAACGCAAGGCGCAGCGAGGCAAAGCGATGCAAGGCAGGGTGACCCCCGAGCAGTCCCTGAGCGCAACCGCGGGCGGCCCACGAGCAGCCCGCGATGTGGTCCGCCTCGCGCCGCTGGCCCTCGCGGCACAGAAAGGACAGGGAACCCCAGCAGGGTCGAACTGGGGAACAAGGCAACGCAAGGCCAAGCCACCTAGGGGGTTCCCTGGGCAACCAAGCGGCGGGACCAGCGTCGGGACACGACCGCACCGCAGAAGAAAGGGGACCCCCCTCCCCTGGAGGGCCCCTCCCCCCCCCCTCCAGGAGCCTCCCCCCCCCAAGGCCTGGCGGGGCAGGGCCCTGTCGCCACCATCCCCCCTCGCTCAGGAGAAACAGAAGACCCTGCTCCAGCGATGCCCGAGGGGGGAGGGGAGAACGCGGCGGACGCCATGACTCTTCCCAGACGCCCAGACTGCTGGGCACGGCGACGACCGACGGCCCACGACCGACGACGCCCACCACGACGACGACGACCACCACGGCTGCGCAGACGACGGCGCAGGCCGGCGACGGCGCACCGTGTCACGGGCGCCGTGCACGCGCGCGGGGGGCCTCTGGGGCCACCAGAGGCCTCCTGGCCATCGCTCGGACGTCCATTCCCTGTGTTTTTGTTAGGTTTCGTGCGTGGCTTCTTCGCCAAGTGATCAAGGATGCTCCTCGATGGTCCTCGCCGAAGGAAAAATGCACACGTCCGACCAGTGCCAAGCCTCCAGAGAGCCCCCCCGCAGGCAGGGGGGCCCACGAAGAGCAGGGCCGAGGGGCCCCCGCGGCCTCGACCCTGGCGCCTCTGCCTCCGGCCCCTCGTCGCTGCCGCCGCCGCCGAGGCCGCCGTCGACGCCGTGCGGGCACGCGCCAGCATGCACGAGAGATTCGTGAATCCGCCCGCGTGGGCGCCAGCGCCGCCGCTCGGGGAAGGTATCGAACGAAGCGTGAGGCCAATGCCGCCTCGTCTGCTGACGGAGCGCGCCGATGATGCACGAAGAGAGGGAGCCCGTCGCGGACCCGCGCGCCACACTCCGCGCTTGCGCTTCCCCCATACGTGTGGCCAAATTAGTGGGGAGCCTTATCCAAGGGCTCCCAACTTCGCGCTTCGCGCTGCGCGAAGCGCGAAGTACGAATAACTTCGCGCTCTCGCGCCGCCTCCCAGGAGAGAAGAGGAGGACGAGGAGGAATCGGAGCCGAACCGCGAAGCGCGAAGCGCGAATAACTTCGCGCGCTCGAGGGCGCCCTTGGCTACGAGACTACCTGGACGTCGAATACTGCTTCCGATGCCTCGAGCCGTGGGGCCAACGTCGCCGCCGCCGCTGCCGCCGCCAACGTCATCGTCGTCGTCGTCGTGGCTGTCGGCGTCGGCGTCGGCGTCGGCGTCGGCGTCGGCGTCGGCGTCGCGGTCGCGCCGCGGGGAGGGCGCGGCGACTCCCCCAGGACCGTGGAGGCCTGGTTCCGGAGGTGCCGCCTGCTGCGGAGGTGGGCCTGTCGGCCGCGGGGGGCAGTGGGCAGCGGCCGCGGGGCCCGCGCTCCGAGGGGCTGCCGCCCGTGCCGGGAGGAGGCGCCGGGCAGCGGGCGCAGCAGCAGGCCGTCGGGGCCGTCGAGGAGGACATCAGGTGCAGCCGGGGTGGGTAGAAAGAGGACACGCGAGAGGACACACGAGTCTTCCGAGGGCCACAATGCCGTATGGATGTAGAAGCATGGGGCGCGAGGCACAGGACACAAAGGTGCCCTCGATTTTGCAGGGCCGACCTGCGAATAATCGGCCTCGACGGTGCATGCGATAATACTTGGTTCTGTATGGGGCCACATTGGGGACAGTTTATGAGATAGTCGCCAGGAGGTGAGGAGCACAACAAACCTCGAAACCTGACGAGTCACAAGTGCCTGCTGTCACGCCGCAGGACGTGATCCATGCTGAAAGAATATTGGGGCGCATTATTCGTCGACCTTTGGGAGTCACAGGGCGCCCAGGAGCTTATACGGATCACTATGGCCATTGGGAGCAAATCCGTGGGGCACCTGCTGACAAGCCCATATGTCACATTGGAGCAACCAACGCCGACTCTTCGAGAAATCACTGCGACCGAAGGCAGCAGCACCGATCGTCACGACGCATGAAACGTTGTGGCAGCCGGCCTCGTGGAGGATGGCACGTTGTTCAGCACTTTCGATACATCGCTGACACAGCATGCGACATGGACCTCGCAATGCAGGGCGCAAAAACGAGCACGATGTCTCAAAAGTCGTGTTGGTCTGACTCCGACTTCGCGCCGTGCGTCGCTCACGCCGTTCAGTGCATCGTTGGGGGGCCTTGTATGTCATATCCGATCAGTAGTCGCGCTGAACCCGTGTCGGGTCACTGCCAAATCCCAATCGAATCCGAGTCTATCCCACATCTAATCCCCGTCGGCCAATATAATGGAACGCCATGGACAGGGCAGTCATGTTGGCCGAAATTGCAACTGTCGCGAATGCCCTCCTCAAAAGTAAAGCTACGTAGCGACGCGGCGTTTAACAACAAAAAGAAAAGGCGTCACCGCGTGGCTGCATCCCAGCATGAAATATCTCTCTATATATATATATATATACTATGTTTGTCTGCCTGCCTGCCTGCCGGTCTGCCTGCCTGCTGGCCTGCCTGCCTGCCTGCCTGCCTGCCTGCCTGTCTGTCTGTTTGTCTGTCTCTCTCTCTCTCTGTCTCTCGGTCTGCCTGGCTTTACCTGCGATTTGGTTTCCACTGTCATAGAATGAGGTTGTTGCTCGGATTGTCACGCCTCTTCCCCCTCACCTCGCCACCTCACTCCCGCTTTGATCCCTCTCTCCGGTTCGCTCCCGCTCGGATCCACTCACACCCCCACACTCAGACTCACCTATATTCATACCCTCTCACTTAGTCCCACTTATACACAGTCTCTTTCGTACGCAGATGGGCTAGTTCTCAATCAACTCCGAATTACTCATACTCATTCAACTTCAAGCTGGCTTACATCCAAGGTCTGACCACTCATACACAGCGACACTGACGCCCAGACTCCTTCATAATAAAAACACTTATACTGAAACCATTCACACTCGGACAAATTTGAGATCACTCTCACCCATGCTCGCTCATAGTCAGACCTTTCAATATCACTCACGGTCAGACTCATTCATACTGTGACCACTCATGCTTATACCACTCAATCTCACACCCAATCACACTTAGACTCATATACCCTGACCCGTTTATTCCCAGACGCGCGAGGGCCACTCACACTCGCACTCACTTCTGGTCAACCCGATAGCCGTCGCCATGTATAAGGTATGGCACTTGGTCGCCAAAAAGGGTATCGGGCAGGGGTGCTTCACCACCCAGCTCGAGCCCGAAATGTTGGAGCCTCTGGAACAGAATTGCTGCTCTGGGGGGAGGTAGACGTGGCTCTTCCCAGGGCCACATGACCATCGTGGTGTAGCAGGCATGGCATTCGAACAACCCCATCCCCGATTGATTCTTGTTTTTTCTGGATTCGCGGGTCGAGAGCGCACCTCTTCCGATCGAAGCTAAGCGGGCCGCGCGAAGCTCGAATTAACCCCTGGGGGGGAGGCAAGGGGGAGGGCGCAGCCTCAGAGCGAGGCCGCCCCGACTGAGCATGTGTCTATGTGTGTGGTCTCGTGCAAAGTTGGCCGGGTCGAGCGAACCAGCTGTCCCCGCCCATTCCCACCCTCCCTTCCACACCATGAGCATTCACTGTGCCGCACGTGTCAAGGGGCCCTGGGACGCACAACTAAGTACAGGGCAGCTTCTAGCACATAGGATTTTTAAGATATGGGATTATTAATACGTGATTCGTGTTTGAGTGCATGTGTGCATGATCGCATCGATGTTTTGAATACAACAAATCCGTGCAATTTTTATACATGATCCGCACGCGGAGCATGTACGTAAAACGGCACTGCATCATAAGAATTAACTGTACCACACATTGCAAGGGGCCCTGGGACGCACAACTAAATGTACACAAATAACCATGTTCACCATCTTTTCCCATCTGTTCTGGGTGTTTGTCTTCCCCCTCCACTTCCCATATGTTCCCATAGTTCCTGGGGAATCGACAAATGATTGTGTCTGTGTGTTTTTTCCCTCCTGAACATTGCAATCGAAATGTGATCGCCTTCCCACCTAGCAAACGTTCGCATGCGGTCACCGCGCCCACTTTGGCACACCCCTCACACGCTTCGTGGCTCCATAGGGAGCCCCACCGAAGCCCCAACTGCCAACGTTCGCATGCGGTCACCGCACCCAGTTTGGCACACCCCTCACACGCTTCGTGGCTCCATAGGGAGCCCCACCGAAGGCCCCAATGCCAGCGTTCGCATGCGGCCACCGCACCCATTCTGGCACCCCCCTCGTATGCTTCGTGGCTCCATCGGGAGCCCCAGCGAAGGCCCCAATGCCAGCGTTCGCATGCGGCCACCGCACCCAGTTTGGCACACCCCTCACACGTTTCGTGGCTACATCGGGAGCCCCACGGAAGGCCCATATGCCAGCGTTCGCATGCGGCCACCGCACCCAGTTTGGCACACCCCTCACACGCTTCGTGGCTCCATAAGGAGCCCCACCGAAGGCCCCAATGCCAGCGTTCGCATGCGGCCACCGCACCCAGTTTGGCACACCCCTCACACGCTTCGTGGCTCCATAAGGAGCCCCACCGAAGGCCCAAATGCCAGCGTTCGCACGCGGCCACCGCACCCAGTTTGGCACACCCCTCACACGTTTCGTGGCTACATCGGGAGCCCCACCGAAGGCCCAAATGCCAGCGTTCGCATGCGGCCACCGCACCCAGTTTGGCACACCCCTCACGTTTGGCAATCCCATAGGGAGCTCCACCGAATGCGGTGCACACAACGAAGGTATTAACGGCTGCATATGGTTGGGTCCTTCGCCAGGCTAAGTTGTTTTTGTGTTCTCTCTCTCTCTCTATGTCTCTCTCTCTCTCTCCCTCTCTCTCTGTCTCTCTCTCTCTCTCGCTCTCTCTCTCTATCTCTCGCTCGCTCCCGCCAGAACATGTAACATAACAGGGACACACCAAATATTCGACACCGTGAAGGCCGCAAAGTCACGGCCATGACCGAATCACAAGAACTGTCAAACCTATCCTTCTGCTGCACTTCGTTTCGGGACGTTTCGGTCCGCGAGGGCCACGAGGCCAGGAACTGGGCGAGGAGATCCATCGTTGCTTGTCCGGCGACGCCCGGATCTGAGGGAAGGACATGATTGCTGTTTTGGTTTTCCGACATGTATTGGCGGCGCGCAGAAGGGGGGGGGGGGGTAGGAGGGGGAGGGGGGAAGGCTTCTTGGAAGGAGGCTGCTTCTCAGAAGGCGCAGGCCTTACATCTGTAGACAGGGCCCGCACCTCCTAAGAAGCATGGGCGCTTCTAAGAAGCCGTCCGCCTCCCCCCAACCCCCACTCTGCGCGTGGCGGATGTTGCTCTGGTCTTCCGACATGTGTGGCGGCCCCCAAGGGGTCCAAGACTTCAACCCTCGATCCTCCTCCTCCCCGGTCGAGGAGGGACAGCAGCAGCAGAAGACGGAGAAGGATGAGGCGGAGGAGGAGGTAGGAAACGAGGAAGCAGGCCAGTCCACAGAAGACCTTCCACAAGAAACCCAATCCTGAGACCCCAGGATGTCTATTGATTTTTGGTGTGGGAACGTAGCGCTCTGCGCAGCAGAACCATGGACCCCCCCCCAAAAAAACAGGGCACCCTGGCGGCAAGCAGTGTGTTTCTTGGCATGGGTCTCCACTGTAGGGAAGGAGGAACGGGAGGTGTGGGAGGAGGCAAACGAACACAGGAGAGGAGGAGGAGGAAGAAAAGGAGGAGGAGGAGGGAGAGGAGGAGGAGGAGGAGGAGGAGGAGGACGAGGAGGAGGAGGAGGAAGAGGAGGAGGAGGAGAAGGAGGAGGAGAGGAGGAGAGGACGACAAAGAGGAGAGGCGAGCAGGAGGAGGAGGAGGAGGAGGAGGAGGAGGAGGAGGAGGAGGAGGAGGAGGAGGAGGAGGAGGGGGGAGGAGGATGCGCATGCGGATTCGGATGCGGATGCGGATTCGGATGCGGAAGGGGGAGGAGGAGGAGGAGAAGGAGGAGGAGGAGGAGGAGGAGGAGGCGGAGGCGGACGCGGAGGAGGAGGAGGAGGAGGAGGCGCAGGAGAATGAGGAGCAGCAGGCAGCAGAGGTAGAGTAGCAGTATGAGGCTCTGCTCATGTTTGTTTCAAGGCCATGGCACCGCGAACGCTCGTCTCTCCAAAAAGTAAAAGCGCGCCCCCTGCGGACTGCAAGGTGCCGCCTGCAGCCAAGCGCGAAACGGCGGAAGAATCAATACGGCACCGTGGTCGGCCCAGGCCCCCATGACGGCCACCTCCCCATCTTTTGTTTCTCCTCCTCCTCCTCCTCCTCGTTGTTCTCCTCGTTTCTGTCCCTCTCCTCCTCCCCCTCCTCCTCCTCCTCCTCC